ACGTAACAATCTATTCTCTTTTTTCTTATTTTTATAGGTGCATAGAAAAGGTTACGGTGAAAAAGAGGACCGACCTGTTGTATAAAAAATGTAGGCCACCTAAATTTATAGACGTGGATAAAAATTCTTGGTTCTAAATTCTGACTTTTTCTTCTCTCCGAAACACTTATATATAAATATTATTTAAACTCAAGATTTTATAAGGGGGTCTCAATAACAAACGGTAAAAGCGTTAGTTTTTTTTTCAAACTTTGGTAAATTAAAATATAGTGTTTATTTATCGAGCTAGAAGATTACACTCAAACTCTAGAAATTTATTGCCATAACTTTTACATAGTTTTTAGTAATATTTGTAAGACTGTTTGCAAGTGTTTAGGAACTAATTTTTTCATTAACTTATTTAGCTTAGATAAAATCGACTTTTCTTTAAGTCCTTTAAAAACACCAGAAAAATATAATAAGCACTTGTCTCCTATTTTTCCTTCTGAAGTATCTTCTGCTGGGTAAGTACCTCCTAATAGATACCGAAAATTTCATTCAATTTTTTGTTTAAAATATTATTAGCGCGGAAAGCTTGACCTCAGAAGAATACACAAGGAAAAAGGTTATAAGAAGGCGGTATGGCGGAAGACCTGTAACTTTTTTTTTTAGGTGGAATGTGTTTTCAACGAAGATTTAATTATTACTCAACTCGGCAAGACCTTTGTGCCTTGGTCGTTGAAAGTTTTCAGCAATAGCCAAATGGAGCCTTATCGTTTTATGTTTGAAAAAACTCAAGACAGAATTCTTGGTAAACTACGTTCGTGCTTTGTATGACTAAGAGAATGTTGAATATGCCTTTGCTGTTAGCCCTAAACAAACGTATGGAGCGCCTCGGTTGTATTTTGCAGAAGAGATTCAACTTTACACAGAGTAGTCACGTGACCTTTGCACAGCAAGTATGTCTAGGTGTTTAATAATGCAACAGCCCCTTTTAGTCTTGAGCTTACTAAAGGAACCTGTTTGGACGGTGGGCCGCGTGTGCTGCTGTAGTGAAGGCCGCCTTAACGATAAGTCAATCGTGCTTCTCCCGCCACTTGAGATCTCCAACGGTCGCTGTCTGGAACTTGACGTTTCTAAAATTCCAGAGTTCGCGGTGTTTCCAGGGCAGGTTGCCGGCCGCTTTACGCCAGCCCTTTAAGAAACTGCACTGAATATTCAAGTACAGATCTTGGGAGTCGAAGGCGTGAACAGTGTGGGATCATCACTTCTAGTCAGCAGAGTGCACCAGGTGGAGACCTCGAAAAAAAAGTGTTATTCGGTCGGTGCTACTTTTTACATTTACTATGCAAGGACGCCCGAAAGCAAATGCTGGCGAGCAGAGTAGATAAACTGAGAAATTATGCAGATCGTAAGTCTCTCGAGCTAACTGTTGCATGTGGGCCTTTTACCGCTAGTGATGGCCTTTTTTATAAAACTTTGGATGCATTAATCGAGGTACTCACAGAAGAGCCTCCTGATATTCTTATGCTGGTAAACAAGTTGACGCCTTCGTGTGTATTAGCTGCAAAATCGTTTAGATCGGCCCGTTTGTCGATTTAAAACATCCGGTTATACAAAGCTGTAGCGTAGAAAAAAGCTTTGAAGAGGTATGAACTATTATCTAATTAACTATAGTATCTCACGCGCAGGTACGCTTAGATATACGAAAATCTTTTAACCCCGCGTTTTAAAAAAGCCCTGAGTTTATCAGAAAATTTGCTTTTGTTAATTGTTCCGTCTCTGCGAGATGTCCATCACGATCGCATTTTCCCTCAACCACCGTTTCAGGGCCCATTTATGCATGAGGTACACCGAGATGTGAAGCTTCCTTAAGAGGATCAACCTTGTATAGAGTTTTCTAGAGGCTCCGGTACCTCTCCAACCCCTGCACTTTCTCGGTAAACGAAATTGTGATTGGCGTAACTGCCACAGACGTGTTGTTTCATCTCAGCAAGGAAGAAGTTTTCAAGTTTCTATTTAGTAAAAAAGTAATAATAAAAAATAACTTCTAATTCTACTGTTTGCAGGCAAAGTGAAGGCGTACGTACCGACCGGCTGGGAAGATTAGCGAATCACCTAATCGAGCAACGAAGGTTGTTGTCCTTTCCTTGATAAACTACCGATTCCAATTTTTTTTATTCTCCAAACTTATTAGTTTTTATCCGCTTTACCCTCCTGCAATGGAAGTCAACTTGGAGACTAGCCGGATAGACAAACTCGAGATGGCCTGCACTCCTGATATTTTAATTCTCCCTTCTGATATGAAATTTTTTGCAAAGGTATGTCGTTATCTTCAGCAACCTATCCCCTTTCTTTGCTTAACTCTGTAAACAGATTGTTAATGACTCTCTAGCGGTGAATCCCGGGAGGCTAACAAAGGTAGCAATTAGCTACTCTATACAATTTTATAAATTAAATTCGCCTTTTCAGGCCCTTTCAGCTGGAACGTACTGCCAGATCTCAGTAGCAGGCATAGACAGGTCTCACGGTGTTAAATCTGCTGGTGTTCTGCGTTGTTAGTCGGTTTTTCCTGCGCAGCCGACATCTGGATGGAGAGGGCGATGAGACTAAAATATCCAACAACATCGTGAACCGATCACAAGTAAAGATTATGAGGATATAAGTGGGGTTTTGCCTAGAATTAGGTCGTAGCAGCTTTTTTTATGGCAAACATTATTATTATAAAGGGTTTTGTTAACCTCATTTCTTTTATTTTCTAAATTCACTTGTTAAAGTGAGAAGTTGACCAGCCATTTCTATTAGGCTCGTGTACAATTTTTTTAATAAGTAGATCTTCTCATATCACGAAGGATGGCCAGTAGTAGTTGACTATAAATCCACATCCTTTAATTTTAAAGTTAAACTTTGCTTGGATATACTAATCAAACTTGGTTCGAAACATTTTAAGTTACTAAAAATTCTCAAAATTTAATAAGTTTCCTTGTTTTGATCTTGGTTTCAAAATTTAAGTACCAAAATATCCTTAACAATAAAGTATTATAATAGTGTAAAATTATAAAACAAAAAAGACTTAAGGTAGTTAAGGCTTAAGAATTTAAGTTGCGATTTCTATATAAACTTTTTAAGTACAACAGGAGAGGATCTCTTGTTCTATTAAAGCAATGAGTAAGCATGAAAGCAAAGGTTTTACTAATCTCCTAGACAATTTTATAACTTCAGCTGAACTCGTTTTCGCGAAAATGGAGGTTATTTAGGGATACTTCCTACTGTTCAAGCATCCGTGATTCTTATTCTAATGCTAGCCCCCCGGATGAGAGCGCGTAGCATTGTGATTTCTTTGTCAAGCTAATTAAAGGAGAGAAGTAGGTACTATCAGCAAAATGTAGCACTCCACAAACCGTTACAACTTTTTAAAAAAGTTAACTTAGAGTTGCATGATAGAAGAAATAATATGTGTAGTCAGTAAGTGCATCTTAATGACGGCTAAGGTTGTAAATTATGTATAAAAGCTAGCCAGTGGCGCGGCTCCAGAGATCTTTTTCTTCTATCGCGTGGTTGCGGTTGGCCTGCTTCTTGCGTTGAGTAGCATCCTGGGCTAGTGAAGTTAATAAATTACAATATATTGTTTTTGTACTGAGTAATCTTTATCATACTTCGGTCACTAGAGGAGATAGTGTCTGTGCACAAGGCAAAAAATGAAGCAAGATAGATAGTATCATAGGTCAGCGGTTAAAGAAAGAGAAGGTCGGCATCTCTGTTTTATTTCTTATCGCTGACGTTTTTTTTATATTTTATTCAAAAAAACCCAAGACTGAAATTTCAGGAGGTTGCATCGCAACCTTTTTTCGGTGAATCTTGAAAACTAGAATGGAAGCTATCCGATGCTATAAGTTTTACGACTTAAAAGTCGTAAGGGTTCCATGAAGATAATAAAGTGCGCCAAAATTACAATTAACAATTAAAAGAATAATAAAAAGTATAAAAATAGGTTATTAAGTACATTTTATTATAAACGAAATTATAACATGAAAAAGAGAAGGAATTAGTCAAAAGCTGAGAAAGAAACTTAGAAAACAAGGTTAAAACCAGGACCAAGATCATATAAAAGAGACACTAGACGCGCTTTACTATAAATAGAAATCAAGAAACTCAACCGGGCAAGGTTTTATCTAAGAGTTCACCTCAGGGTGCATGAGAATAGGTGTTCGAGGTAATAACATGATGTGCTCAATCGTAACAATAAGCGGAGTATGCTCATGCCAATGCTTTAACTTAATAATTATTTTACTTAAAGGAAACACTTTTGAAGAAAGCCAATAAGGTAATTAATAATAATACACAATAGCCCCATAAACGATAAATGTGTGGGTATAGTCACTCTGCCTCATAATACTCTGAACTCAACAACATTGAAGAAGCAATGGAAATTTGCATCTACATTCTTAAAATGAAATCAATTCGAGTTATGATAAATTAGCTAAATATATATGCATGTGATAAATTAAATATATTGACAATGCAATCAGACAATTAAAAAGTTATGATTAATCTGATCGCATCAGTTGAATTAAATAAAGGGTCTGGGAGGAGCCTCCGTTGGTAGTGCTTTTAATGGGTTCCAATCATACTTACGCTATATGACGAAGGACGGGGCCCGCTCCGCTAGTTTTCAGTCCCCCCAGATAGTTATAAACTCATTTTGGAGAAACTAGCTGATAAATGCTTTTGTCTCATCATTTTTGAGGAGAAAATTCAGGTTTACCGGTTTAAGCGCTTCTCTTGCTGACCGTAGTATTTGTGTCCAAAAAAAATTATTCCGCTTTTCAGGCTGCTTTGTGTTAGGGTATTTAAACCTTTACTGACCGGTATCTTAACTTTAAGCCCTTTAAAATTAATTGTAAACAAATGTAAATATGTATATATATAGAGATGTACTGGTGTGACTAAAACAAAAAAAACACTAAAAAATTAACACGACTGCTAGTTTATTTTTTCGGGACCCTTCATTATAAACTAACCACTAAGCAATTAAATAATCAATAATATCCTAAAATTGCCTAAAAATGGTAATTTGCGTTAAAACTTATGAACTGGGATCTTTACCTCAACACTTTGCCTCTCTTTCAATCTAAAGGACTAAAAAAGAAAGAGTCAATTATAGAAAAAGTTCAGGGCCAATTTAAAAAAATGTGAACTTTTCAGGTTACGATCGGGTCAGCAAACATCGAGCTATTGATTGGATTAACAGTGGACAAAGTAAAGTAAATGAAATTAGTTGGAGTTATCCTTTTTTTCTTTTCTTTTCTCTTTCATCACTACCCTTAAATAGCGTAAACACACAGTGCCTCACGCTGAAGGCGGTAGGGCGCAACGTCTCAAGGCCCACTAAATGAACACCTACCAGAAAATTCTGTTGGTGTATTCAATTAGCCGTTTTTTGTAAATCAACGTTGCATTCTTTGGTAAATTGTATTAAACGGTTCCAATTAAATGGCCTACCGTAAAGTCTCGATTTGCAAGCAACGCACAGCAGTCTCGGTTGAAGCGAGGACACTGCATGTAATTCCGTAAGTCCAGGGTTGCAGGCGCCTGTGTTTTAAATGGCTGGATACACAGCTTGTCGCACAACAGGGATGTAAAAGCTTTTCTAACCCCCAAAACCATTTCATGTGTAGACCCAATGCCATGGCAATACAATAAAATTAGAAAAAAAAATAATGCGCCGGTTAAGAGGCTATTAAGGTGCTAGTTCTGGGTATTTAAAGTTAGCTCTGTGTATACATAAAACTCCGATACATTTACATTTTATTTTTACTCTTAAGAATATAGCAAATTGGTATCAAAAAGGAGAGAAATAATTAATGTGATCAAGACAAGTTTTTTTCATGGTAAAGCGTAAGAAGGAACCAGACGTCCGCCTCAAATTTAAAGGGGTTTACAGTCCTCAATTTCCGTTATTATATAGTTAGGAATCATAATTAACAAAAGAATAAGTTATTATATTAAAGTTTATGTTATTAACAAAGCTAAGACGAATGTGGCTTCTCTTTTACACATTTCCCAACCCGAAAAAGTAAATTATCATTAAAGAACAAGTTATTTTTGTAAAAAATGATTATCCACGCCCTACCTCTCTTGTCAGAAGGTGCCGTTTTTATTAGCTCATAACCCAAATAAACTAATATTGTGTTTATTAGCGATGCTTGTTCTCATAGAGAAGTTGAAGTTTAGCCATTAAAGAACTTACAGGTATTTAAAGACATACGAAAGGATGGAATAAATTGAAAAACCCTATATTTGAAGCGTCAGTTATGTACGAACCTTTTACTTTACTAATGATCGAAGCCCAAATCGGTGTTAATCGCAAATTCCATGCCGTTGTACACCTTAAGTGAAGAAGTGCGTTCTGTTACACATATTAATAAATAAATAAAAAATCGTTTAATATTTTATTGCTCCGTTTCCATAATAAAATTATTATAAACTTTGCTTTAACATTACATTTCAAAGATCAATATAGTAATTATAATATTTAATATCGCCCTGAGACTGTGAACTCGACCAAAAACTTAGTTTATACATATTAGTACTTAATATTAGTAAAGTATATATTTGTATTTTCAAAAAGTTTATGATCTATTAGCTTTTCTCCTTTTAAAAAATATGATGGTTTGTTGGTTTACAAGCTTGCTAGTTTTAAATAGCATAATATATTCGTATTAATACACCATTGACACAGTCCTAGCTTTTCCTTTACATTGCAGAAAAGGAAAGGGAGGCTAAGAGGTTTGTCTGCATTAAAAGGGTTTTTCAAACTTTGCCAAAATACCAACTTTAACCCGATTCTTTTTGTATGAAATTATGATTCCCGCAGTCAACTCCTCTCGCCTTCCAACGCGTTGTAAGTCGAGTTCTGCGAACAGTTGTACAGCATCCCACAAACAGGCGGTAACAAATAATTTAAAAGCATTAAAAGTACAAGCAAATTTGAGTAGAGAAAGAGACCAAATTAAAGATAAAGAACCTACAAGTAATGTCTCAATTAGTAATATATTTTCTGAAAAAGGTCGAACGAGGATATTACCAGCCGATGCTCATAAAGGATCTTTAACCAGTTCCACGCAGCGTGGAAATTATTTAAAAAAAGAGGCCATTAACGTAGAAGAAGTACTGTTAAAAGAAAATAAAATCTTAAAAGAAACGAGTGATAAGTTTTTAGAACATATGAAGGTTTGTAAACTGGAACTTATAGTAAGAGTCTATTCTAAGTTGTCTCTTTATGTATGGACTTTAGAATCACAAATACTCATTAAAGCTGTACGTCAAAATGAATACAAAACAATGAGTTTTAAAAATATCTTGCGTCCATATATATTGCTTATTCTCTCGTTTTGCTAAACTCTTAGCTATTAACACCTTTATATAATTTCTAAGAAAAAGTTGCAAAAAGAGAATGATGAACTAAAAAGTTACGCGTCGGTGGTATCAAAAAAGTTGCAAAAGTTGGAAGGTAACTTATTGAAAAGTTTTCTACACTAATAGGTAGGCTTTACTTGTGGCTATTAATAAGAAAATTTATATTTTATTAAGATTCAATTGAAGAAATCGTGAACCGGCATTACAAGCTTTGCAACGAAAACGAAAAACTACGTGAAGAGCTTGACGAGGCTAAAAGTACAGCGCAATATAAAGTGAACTCTGGTACTCAAAAACTTTTTTTACAATCTTTTTCTTTTCATTAACTTTTAATTTTTAGCTCTCCTTGAACAGGACAAAGAAAACAAAGCTCGGATCGAAGAACTGCTCAAACTAGCGAGTGAACTCAACGAGGACAAATGCACAATTTCTAAATTAAATGTAATTTAAACAAAAATATAATTTTATTAGTACTTTTTAATAATCCAGCAATCATATGCTGCATATTGGCGTCTCTCGAATAAATTTCAAGTCGACTTTGTGTCCCACGAGGTCTCGGATGTTATCAATTCCGTACATAATCATAGCGGGCCTGCAGCCAAACGCTCAGGCGCTTCCAGGCAATAAATTCCTAGTAAAAAGTAGATACCTTTCCAAGGAAAGACCCCAAGCGATGGCCCGAACGTCCGAGGGGAGACCCATTGGTTCCAACATTTCTGGCCGGAACATCCCGCTATTTCCCACTTCCACCTACAAAAAAAAGGTAGAAAGTAGCAACGGTGCAGGGAATCGCCAGTTACGGAACCGCACCCATTTCTTAAGGCCAGCGTGGTAGCTAAAGATCTCCATACTCGGCTCCGTGTATGGGTTATATGCAGGCTTGAAGCGCAGGCTTGCAATCCCTGTAACGAAATAAAGAGTATCCGTCTCACATGTACAAAATTAAACAAATTTAAAACCTAACTTCAAAAAAAAAGAATGCAAAATCCCTATAAGATCGCCCAAAGACAAATTATAGTCCACAATTACTCCTTTTCGAAGCGTAAAAGCAGGGTAAAGACCAAAAGCGCTGCCAGCAAAAAAAAAAATTCCAAGAAACCTTCAACCTGGTGGAATTCTGCTAGATGGGTTGAGTCCGTGGTCTCATTTCGAAAGACTCGATCAATTGAAAAGTACTTTACCGGCCGGAAGGGATGCATGTCGGCAGCGTTCTTCAGCATTCTGGCGGTCACGGCTGTCGTGTGAGTCCTCAGAAGGTTTTTCCTAGCCTCCTCTTCAGACCACTTGCAGCGGTAGCTAGATATTAATTTTAAAAATCAATGATCCTCTCCTCAAAATTTCATTAATGCAGGGTTTTACCCAAGCGAGCCTGTGCCTCCGCCAGACTCGTGAGTTTGTTTCACGCGTTGCATGTAGTCTTCAGGGAGTTTGGAACTACAGAGAATTGCGTTGAGCAATACTACTTTTTAATATAAATAAAAAACCCTCGCCACCAATAAGCGGGATCAGCTAAGAAAAAAGTATCGTGAGCATCTCTAGCGGGATGCTTTTGGGGCTGAAAAAGTGCATCGAAATTCCAAAACGAACTTTCGACGAATTGATTGGTGGGCATTTCAGTGAAACCCATTTCTAAAAACTTTTCTCGATACTGAGCACGAACCTTTAAAAACACACAGCAGGTAACAAGTATAAATAATTAATAAACGTTACTAACAATAATATTAGTAATAGTAAATATATCTAGAAATTAATAATAATAGTAATAATTGTCACTTTGAGCAACGGATGTAAGTGACCACCGGAGACGGCGCCGCCGATAAAATTATATTTTTTAAACGATAAATCTTTCCAAATGCCTCTAAATATTAATATCAACAAACGATCATGCCTTTTCAAATAACTAAAACCTTTTTATCATGTCTTCAGTAAGTTCGGTAACTTGTTCCTTTAGATTAAATTTAAAATTGGGGCCTTTTTGAACTATAAAGTACTTGGTGGTTCTAAAAAAATATATAAAAAATATAATCCTCGCACTAATTTTGATTATAAACAATGCAGCCCAGTTAGAATTTATCGAAGTCACACAGAGAGTGCAATAATAATAATAAAAGCACCGTCTAAGTATAATTAAATTGTCAGCATTCTAAATGTTCGCTTTGAATTGTTATCAAAAGTCCCCAAGCTTATTTTTTTTACCTAAATATTGTTACTTACATTTTTTTTAAAGCTTTTCGACGAAGTAGGATGTTTAAAATAAGACTAGAAGGTTTTAAGTTGGGATCGATCGCCAATTTCTGAAGCGTTAATAGACAGATATCCTCTTCAACTTCCTTTTTAGATATTACATTCTGATTTTGGTCCATATCTACCCATCCAAGCATTTTGGCATAGTTAAAGCTCTCAAAAAGTCCTAAAAAAACATATACTTTTCGTCATAAAATAATAATTTACTAACTTACCTTCATCTTGTAATATTTTTCTATGTACGCCTCCTTGAAGCCCTTCCACTCTCTTAAAAAGTGCAAATTCTGGGCTTTTTCCATTATCAATAAGATTACATCCAAAAGATGTAAGCTAAATTATAATTAGAAAGTGGTGACGCTAAAATTATTTGTAGTTACCTCTAAACTGTGAGATTGACTAATTTCAGTTTTAAGAAATCCATCAGCTACCATTTCTAGACTTTTTAAAGCGCCCACAACATCTTGATGGGGTATGGAGTGGCTCTTCGCAAAAGCTAGATAAAAGATTCATATATGAAATAAAAAAAATAAATATTGAAACAACAATATATATAGATAGTCAACTATAAAATGTTTGTACTAATCTTACAGAGAGTCGAAAGGCTCTCCACAGCTTTTATTTCTTCAAAGAGCTTTTTCTTTAAATCCATTTTTCATAAGTAAGAAGTTCAAAACTAAACGTTTCCCAATAAAGACGATATTAAAAAGTAACAAATGTTGTTTACGTTATCTATCTTTCGAAAATTATACAAATTCTAATTTAGTGCTACCTCCGTCTCCTCGTGTCACTTTAAGTGGTGTAGCTTCTATATGCTTAAAAGCTCTTCAGTAAAAATGGGCTTACAAAAAAGTTGGCTATACAAAAATTATAACTTTTGTGTTTTACAAATTAAAACTTGTTTATTATAGCATTTCTAATATTTACTAGTGTAAAAATTCGCAACTGTGCATGTAACACTTAAAAATAATGAAATTTTAGAAAAATTGGGTACATAGCTGGTTGGCAGCTTCCTGAAACATTTTAAACTGAGCCCTGAGTCGTTGTTAATATTACACTGGTAAATAAAAGCCTATGATCCATGCCCTAACTATTTAATATATTATAAGGATTATTGTTACCGATTTACCAAAACAGCCCTTAAAAAAAAACGAATAATGGGCTACGCGCTAACGGTTAAATCACCCATAAACAATCCAGGAGAACTCATCATTAAGGTTCATATTTTTATCTCCACTAGAGCGCTGGTTACAATAATTATCAACGTATATACCATTATAGTTTAAATTATTTATAGATATAATCGTGTTAAGCCTTATTGACGTTTTCCCTGGGTCAAATTTTTGGTAATTTTGGGCTATAAAAATAAACTTAACCTCCTTACAGTTAAAAAATTTATATATTTCGGCAATAGTTTAAAATTCGAGTTACTCTTTTCATTTTCATTATGAAACATTGTAACAAGCACCTTGTATGAAAAGTAAAGAGCTTTTAGGTTTCCTATCAGGTTAAAAAGTTTGCCCCACTTTAGGGAGCTGAATAATAATTATGAAGCTATCCCTAACCCATCCTTTTGTTACCTTGATAAAGGCTAAGTAATATTATTTTAAATTTAGTGGTTCGTTATTCCTCCCTAATTTAGTAAATTACTAATTTTTCATGGGGTAAAACATTCGGACCAGAAATGGAATGCATTTAGATTTTTTATGTTAGATTTTTACAAACTATAACAAAGGAAAGGGAACGAAAGTTAATCGTATATTCATATTTTGTTATCATTTCGGAAGTTCTTAAATATAATAGAGTTTTAAATATTCGAGACACTTCGCATCTTTCAAGTTGTGAGTTTCCTAACATGCCAATAAATGGAGACACATTTAAGAGAGCAGAACATCTATGACCTGTAATTTACAAATGCCTATGTGATTTAATGTACTTTTTGTTACTATACAGCTGCCTGTCATCCGGTCTTCGGCAATGCGCTTTAAACCTACTTTGACGCGTTTTCTGATAGAAATTTCTTATAATACCTTCAATTAATTAAATTGCTCAGACTTCTAAGTATGTAATGTCTGGGTGTAACTATATCACAAATTTGTGTACTATAACCCTATGATGGGAGATTGAAATGGTTACATATTCTTAGTGTTCGAATTTGCTTTTACATCGATGGCAGCGAAATCCAGAACAAAATATTGGCGTGTATCGGAAAAAATTTATGAGCTCAATCGTCATAATGAGAGTCAGGCTCGAGCATTTGCTTTTCTACTATATGGTAAAAAGAGAATTGGTTGTAAGCGAGTTAAGTTAAAAGAATGCTGTTACCTTTATTGGTTCGCACAATGGTCACGTCGATGCTAGATGTTATAGGCAGATATAAGGAGCCAACTTTCGCCCACATCAAGTCTCCCAAATATTTGTTTTGAGGCAATGCTGGCGATATAAGAATTTTATATAAATGGTGTGCTTCTAATTTACTATTACTAACTGGGGAAATAGGCAAATACATTTAAATAACTGATGGTATTTAAACTGAAGGTAATGTAGATATAAAACCATTCAGTTTGGGAGGGAACGCGAACATTATAAAAACCTTATTTATGGTTCGTTTAGTGTCATTTTTATTGCCTAATTACCTCTTGTTAAATAATTTAACAATACATTAACCAACCGGTCATAATATAAATATAAGAAAAACACGTGAACAAGAGGAAGAAGGAAAACGAGGTAGATAAGGTTTTATTGAACATGAGGAATATATATACTGTTGCCCGACTCAGGACCCAAGATAAATCATCACACACGTGATGGAGACAGGCGACGCAGCCGCGCTGCTCGTACTCCCACAAAACTAGCAGAAAATTTTATTTTTTACAAAAAAAATAAATGACTAATTAACCGAATTCATGTAGACTACTGTTAAGCCTTGTAAAAATATTGGCTCTTCGTTGATAATATTAATATCAATAACTTTTTGTAGTCTTGCAGGTAGTTAGCCTTCTTACTTCTAGGCTGGCTATAGCGTTTGCTATGAATAGAGTTGCCAGTAACTTTTTTTCACTCTACTATACTTGATTGCATAGCAAGACATACATAACTGGATATACAGATTTTTACGAAGCCTTACTGAAACTGAAGCCCTTCTTTCCAGTATTAGTGCAACAGTGTTTAAAATAATTTTTAACCGCAAAGCAGGACAAGATACTTTATGAAAAAAGCACCTTTGTTTACAGAACTTTATTATATTTAGAACCACGACCTTTAAAACCAAGTGCAGCTGATTATAACAGATGTAATAAAACCTCGTGGTTACACTGGTACATAGTGAAAATCTTATCTTAAAATATAACGTGTTCCGTCAACAATCAGTTTATAAAATATGTAGCAGTCCCCAGCTCCATTGTAGATTGAAACACAATAAATTTAGAGACTATCGCTTTTGTGAAAGACTGGCGATTTTTTGTTTGTTTCTAAACTACACTAAGAAAGATCAGCTCCAATTTTTAACTCCACTAGATTACTTGAAGAGATAAGCCTGTACTTTCAGAAATTTATATTATAAGATCTATAACTCCTGATAATAAGGTTTGGCTTAACTCGGAACAAGGAAAATAGGTAAACTTAAAATCCACCCAATCAGTCAAGTTAGCATTTAAAAAACTAAAGTTTAATTAAAAAAAACTCATCTACTGGGCAAAGTTAGAATGATAAACATTATAATATATTCTAAATTTTTTAAAGACTAATATTGAAAACATTATATTTTAATTTTACTAATAAATCGTTTTTAAGCGTTTCCTTATTTTCTAAGTTTTTTTCTGTCTTTTGGACTACTACAGTTTAAATATACTTTGGTGACCAAATTTTTTTATGGTGCTATTCTATTAGGCGCACGGGATAAAAAAAGACAATGCAAAACCTCTATTCCTGCCTTAAACTTTACCTTATTTTAAAACAAAGTACGTGCAATACAAGTGTAGCAAAGCGCATGGGGAACATTACTAAAGAAATGTATATTGCTAAAAACCTAATAATAAAACAAAAGCATCCCACAGACAAAAATAATATAAAACTTTATTAGTTCTTTAAAATTTGATTAAGGCGACTAACAAAAGGTCCGATGTCGATTTCTACAAGCTCTCCTCCCAAAAACATTTCGTCGAAGATGAGATAAACCTTCCAGAAATTAAACACTTTAATAAAAAGTTATTTAAAATTAAAAGGAATTCTTTAGAAATCAAGACTAAAAAAGTTACGAAAGACTTAATTCAATCAAAGAAGTTGTTACCCAAATCCAATTCGCAAACTTTATTAAAATAGAGATCCAAAACCTCCACAAAATTTCGAATTGCGTATAAACAGGTATAATTGCTGTCGGTGACATCCACGCAAAAGCAGAAATACAGCCCAGCATACTTTTTGTACACAATCTTAAAATTGCGGTACTAAAAAAAAAGCAAAGTAAATTAAATTTACCTTGTTACTAAAATTCACAATAAACAATTCTTTATGAATTTGAATTTTTTAATAATAAAAATTTAACAAAATTAAAAAAAATATATGATTCAAATGTTTAAGTAAAAGCAATAGGACACAAACCTTAAAATTAGCAATATTATAGTATTCATAAATCAATATATGTTTTAATGAAAAATTAAAAGTAAAATAAAAAGAACTTTTAAATATATGACAGTAGAAGTTACCTCTATAAAATTAGTAAACCCCGACTCTCGAATTGTAACTAAAGCGTGTACTTCCTCTATAACTTTGGTTTTCTCGTCTTCAGTATAAGCAATAAGCCATTTAGCCATTCGTGTTTTTCCAGAACGATTTTGTATAAGAGCAAATCTTATCTATAGCATAAAGATAAATATAAGTGAAGTATTATTCTAAAAGTTATAAAATGAAAAAATATGGACGCAAAATTTTTTTTGCACTCAAAGTTCAAGTATAAAAAGTTTATACATTATTTAAAAATATAACAATAAAGAAAGCCCACGGGAATAATATTTTAAAGTTTGTACCATTTCCAAGACAAAAAAGGTTTTTTTTTTAAACCATTTATGATAAACTAGTACTCAGCACTTTCGGTCATATCACGAAATTAGGCACCTGTTAACTAGAGAAATTAATAATCAATAAAGAACTAATAAAAGTTAGAATATATACTGTAATAAATAAAGTAATATGTTGTTAAAAATATTTTTTCTTTGTGTAGAGAAAAAGAGAAGTATGAACTGTATTAATTTTTAGTATGAACTGTATTAATAACAACTTGTAAAGACATTACAAAAATAAGGGTTTTTCAAATTATAATACTTTCTTTCTAACAATTCAATACGCTATTAAATATAATAAATCAACTTCTTTTAATATTAAAATATTAACTTTAGTCTAAAGGCATAAAAGTTGATATAGCAACAAGGAGGTATCAGAATCGACCACCACCAGCTTTTTTTCAAAACCAATAAAAGTTGAGAGTGAATTTCCTTTATTTAGATAACTCAACCCCATGTTCTGCATAGGGTTGGTCGTTCCCTTGGCAGTTACTTTAGGCGTGACCAAAAAGTATATCGTAAAATATCGATTTTAGAAGTTTTTAAAAAAAAAATAATGAGTTTACATCGATTGACTGTTATATTTAGTCTGCTACTGCCCAGAAATATTGCTTCTTTTAATCGTTCATGTATTTCTCAATTTGGAAGATCCCAGCTCTATAGTACTCAACGAATAGATAGTAATAGCGGTGATTGCGTTGAGGATAATGATTGTACGAAAGGTTATAATGAAAGTAATGAAGTTATTAACGAGGATAATAATAATAATGAAAGTAATAATTCTAGTAATCTTTTTTTTGATGACCCAGCTAAAAAAATTGTTGGTTCATTCAAGCCGTTAATGCGTATAATCTTTACTTGTGGAATTTGCAAAAGTAAAGTGGACAAAAAATTTTCCAAGAGATCGTATGAAAAGGGAGTTGTGTTTATAACTTGTCCAGTATGTAAGGTAGAAAGTTTTTTAAACATACTTGAATTATTTGAACCCTCTTTTCTTTTTACCAACCTTCATTTTCTAGAGTAACCATCTTATTGCCGATAATCTGGGTTGGTTTTCAGATATAGAAGGAAAAAATATAGAGGTTATTTTTTATATATATTTCTTCTTGATCGGGTTCATTTTCTTTTTTGTAGGGATTTATGGCAGCCAAAGGTCAAAAGGTAAAGAGGATTTTAGAAAGTGCAGAGAATGATAGTTAAGAATTATATAAAATATATTTTGTGAAAATCCTTATTTTAGATCAGAGAAAAGCTTGTATCTATTTAGTACTTCCACTTTGAAAGAATAAAGTGTGGTTTCATGGCAAAAATTTATTTGAATTGCAGCTTTATTAATAATTTTTGAGATTTTTTTTAGTTAATTGGGCATTTGTGGTCAGCATTAAATAAATAGTTTATATACATTTAAAAAAATTTTAAATTCCATTATATCAGTTATGCACCACCTAGAATCTTTTGGACTTAATTTTAAAAAAGTTTGCCTTTTACGCTGTGAAAACCTGTTTTATCCTTTCCTATACCTCCAGCTTAATAAATTTCAAAAATATGCAACAGAATTTATACAATTTAGATCTTCAAGAGGGAACCATACACATAATTGGCTTTTTAGAAAAGTTCTTAAACTTTAAAAAGTATTGTTATTTTTAAATGTTTGTTAGCATAAAAAGTGATTAATATTAAGTATTCAGATTTATACTAGAGCATTTGTGCATTTTTATTAATAAAGTTATCAATAAGGATATATCTTAGCTATAAAAAAATATTCGAAACTAATTTTGCAACTCTTTTGAGAACTTTAGAGTTTCTATTGAGATGATGTGTTTACATAAACGACTCATACGCCTTACTTTCAATAAACACTGTTACTAATATAAAACGATTCTATCTCTATGAATAAGTGGATTATAAAACTTGTAAAGGCCCATAAGTGAGGCATCCACAGCTTTAAACCAATTTTTTTTTAAATAAATTTTGAACGGGTCAAAAAAAATCCATATTATTATGGCTCCAAATGAGAGTTTTTGTATATAGTACGTGGCACGAAGCTGGCAACGGGGACCCGCACTTCAAGCAGATTAGCTCACGGTGGGAAGTCTTGGCTGACAATGGCGTTGTTGCTGGTGGACCTCTTATTTCGTTCGAGCGAATGGTATAGTATCGTATATCTAAGCAAACCAGCAGCGCAGTTTAATAAATTTTTTTTCTGGCGCGTTGTTGTGAGGTGACCCGCTTCATTCTTTAACAAAGTATAATATAATTTCTGTATTGAATAACGATAAATAGTGTAAGTACACAAACATAATTTTACTCATAAGTTACTAGGCGCATTTTTTAAAGTGCATATATATTATCACGATGAAATCGAGTTGGAGTGTTTTGAGTTTATTAGAGCCACGCCTGAAAAGGGTCGAAGTGTTACGTTTTTAAAGATCCGTTCATGTTTTGGTAAATCTATGATGTATTGAAGAAATCTCTGTAGGCTTCCTTAATGAAATATTTGGAGTACATTATGGAAAGGCTAGCAGGCAAGCGGAGCATTCCGTTAAAGGGACTTAACAATTGGTACGCCGTTATTTTAGTAACGGGTCTCATCCTAAACACTCGTGCAATACTAAAGGAACCAGAGCTTTGAAAGAGGGTATTTCAGTGATTTAGTGTTAGGGTGATAGCTGTAGAGAAAGTAATAGCCTTCTCGTGGTCAACTTAATAAATTTAATTGAAAGATGGAGCTAGTTATAGGCTCTGATGAAAGCTATGTTAGTATAAGTGGGTGAGACAGCGAAACATACATAGGGTAGAAGGTACGAGTGAGTTGAGAGAAATTAGTGAGCCGACTAAGTTTGATAACCTGACTAAGAGATAAAAAGTCTATTAAGTGAAGCATAAACTTTCAAGAGGTGTGAGACTAAACTGCTTGACAAAAAGGATCTCCCGCAACGAGGTTTTCGACTAGTTAACCTAAAAGAATGGATGGGGAATCTTGTTGAAGAGGAATGGAGAAGGTCTATCTAAGAAAGAGAGTGAAATAGTTCGCGAGTCTGACAATGTTTCTGTTAAGGTTACTGTGCAGGACTTACGAGATTGGTATGCAAGAAAGTAACAAAGTCAATAAGGCAGTTTAGCTATGAGGATATATAAGTCAAGGTGGAAGAGGTATCCAGTGAAAGTAACTGTAAAAAGGGATGTCTCTCCAGTATCATTTAAAATAAAGATTAAAAATTTTTAAAAAAGGAGTAGTATTCGAGTATGAGTAATGCTGGAATTGAATTTTTTTTCTAGTGATTAATGGATCCATGGCCTTGTTGCAGTTGAAAAGTCTGAATACAAATATGCTAACAAGTAAAAGTTAGAACGTGAACCTGAAAATATATGAGAACTTGTGTTGCTTCTCAAGGTTTGAATAAACGATGACTGATAAGAAGATATGGTGTCCGAAGAGAGCGTTTTATCGACCTGTAGGCTAGAGATGATGAAATTTTTATTTCTTTGGGTAGTGCCAAAAGTTTTCATTAAAGAGCTATACATTGCGACTCAAGAAAATACTTTGCGATCACTACACCCGAACGGCAAAAAGGCTCTATGGACAGTACTTCCATTGGGTTACGTAAATACACCTTTTGAGTATCAAAGGCCTATGGATATTATCACAGTGGACTTGCGTAATATGCTTGTTTCTGTTGATGAATGCTTGATGAGTAGGAGAGACGAATGTAAACATTATTGCCATCTAGTCAAGATGATGGAAAGGGACGAGAAGTATAATGTAATAGTAAGGTTAGGAAAAACTGCAATTTTGCGGAAAGATCGAACGAAAGTCTAAGGAGAGAATTGACAGACCGGCATGTGGAAAAGTCAACACGTTATGAGGAGCTAACAAGTTATCTGAAGGTCTTATGCTATTGGAGTACATATCCCTTATAGTGCGATTATTTTTAACCTTAAGTAGTTGGCTTTAGAAGGGCGAAAATTTTGAGTGGCATGAAGGTCGAGAGAAACCCAACTTTTCGTTAGTTCTACAGACGTTGCTATCGATTTCGAAAATAAGGCTTTCTTTTCTAGCGCTCTTTCTTTTCGATTTCCTTTCTCACAACTTTATCATAAATTTTTTTTATTCGCTTTCACTTAACCTTGTAGTCTTTAATATTCTGTTTAGTTTTAATAGCTTTTTTCCGCCGATTTTCTCAATTACCATAATATATTTGGGTTCGTTATCTTCCCCTAGATCAACATAATTATTGGTGATTTTAATTTCCATCACTTTGGTGCGGATTAACGGTATATATTTAGTAAAAAAGCTTCTCATTCCCATGACTCTTAAGTCCTTAACTGCTTTAATCTCTAGTGGTATTTGTATCCTACCATGTTCTTCCAATTGATTTAGCACCTCATTAAGCAGTAATCCTTTTCAAACTTTTTAGCCCTTAAGGGTATCAATTTACGATAACTAATCCACTCTCATAGCCCAACTTAGTTTTTGGTAACTTCATTGCGTCTACTGATAAGCTGTAAATTGGCAATCTTGGTCTATCTATGACATGTATGAGCCTTTTTACAAGTTAGACTTGTTCGCAAATTTCTGACACTCTCTAAAGTCTTTCATTATTTCCCCTACTTTTGCAACATTTCCTTCATAATTTTGTTAGTTCCCACCACGACAAAAAGTGGACTCCCACTTTAAGGGGGCAGAAAGTCATCTATTAACGTATCAAGTTCTAACTCAACCCGCTTACCTTATTACCCGACTTCAATTTCAATACAAAGTTTTCAACTCCATATCTATTAAAACAATTTTTTCTTGGGGTTGGCGAGACTCGAACCCGAGCATTGGGCTCTAACACAATAACGCAGTATACACAACACCTAAGACATAATTTAAACACAAGATATAAAATACTTTATTCGAAAAGCACAAAACACAAATAAAAAAAATAAAACAGATTACAAAAACATATTGTATAATACATTAGGTATAAAGTACACCACCATAAAACACATACATAAACACGAAAATACAAAACAAAGAAAACAAAACGCTAATCTAAATTTTCACAGGAAAAATGATCTGTGGTGAACCCAATCAGAAACCTGGGAAATAACCAATAAAAACACAAGAGGAATTAAATATTTAACAAAAAATTTAATCTGACTTACCTTATTATCTTTTGTAAAGGTACTCATACAGGCAGAAACTGGTCAATAATCAATCCTTGCTTTAATATACTTTTTTATATACATTTACACAAATTTTGGTAGACCCTTAATCTGTAAGATTTCCCACTACGCCAAAAACTGGATGCCCACCTTTCAGGGAGCAGGAAAACATTTATTAAGGTATCGAGGTCTAACAAAGTTTAAATATTTGTTCCTTTTTCCGACATAAAAAATATCTACTGCTTTTTATGGACTATATCACTGCCTCGTTGCCCACTTAGCGCCATGAGCACTTTTTTACTTCATTCTGTTTGTGAAACCCTACCAGTCCAGAGAGTAAATAGGCTATTGCATTATCACTTCCTAGCAGAAAATGTAATGTCCAAGCAAACGAATTAAGTATTTATTTCCACCTTTTAAGCCGTCTTCAAATCACTATCATTAACAAATAATCCTAATAACGCCTTAGGGCCCCACTCAACTACTAGCTGTTACTGCTCATCTTATTCATGTCCATTAACTTACTAACACACTGCACCACTTCTACTGCTTCCCGATCCGTAGTGTTATAATTACTTTGTGCATTATAAAGTTGGAACTAACGATCGCCACATTATGTAACTTGCTCTTATAACACTGTAGTAACACACCATTCATACCAATATCACTTGCATCTCCTTCTAAGGTTAAGCTTTAATTGGTCTCAACTTGCTCCACAAAATTCCTCGCCCCTAGAATCTTTATAGAATTTTTTCCAGGCTAAATGTTGTTTTTCACAAGTTCTCCTCAAGGGAACCAGTAGTCATGCATTATTTAAGATATACATTCTCCCTAAGTTTAACAATTGCAAAAGACTACTTAGTTCTTTTTAACTAGTGGGTTGCTTTAAATTCTTAGCCTGCACTGTTCTGCGCTCATTCTTGATACTCTTTTACAGATTCCTGTCCTGGTCTTTTCACGAAAGTCTTTATAAACCTACGCTTTTCCAAATTTAGTTTGACTTTATACTGTTCGCATCTAGCAACCCAGTTACAAAATGAACTATAGAGTGTTTTCACTTTGTTTCGCTACTAGGCATCAACGACATATGCGTAGGTGTCTTTAAGCTTTGTGGTTTTAATACCCATTCCTTTTTGATGTTCAAATAGCGCATTAAACCCAAACGATAGAACCGTCCATTGCACTGTGTGTTCGTTTCGGCATAGTAAAGGCAAGATATTTTCTACTCGCTTACCTGACTCTGGCTGGTAGAATCCTTTAGCATTGTCCAAAATAAAGTAACTGCTGTTTCTTTAACTCTTCGGTAGACACCATAAATTGCTTAAAGTGCGACGTTTACTTAAACTTCTTAAATCCTCTCTTTTTATTGAATTACTTCGTGCTATACTTATGAGATAATTCTATAGGGTGAATGCGTTGGTAAAGGCTGAGCACCGGCATTTTGATTATCTGTTTAAGAGCCTATAACCTGATCCCACAGCGAAGCAAATGCAACCTTAAGCTCACTTTTTTTTAACTAGCAGACCGATAAGTAGGACGCATCTTTTTTAGTCATGATATTATCAGAAAGTGTTTAAGTTCATTTTCCATCTTTATGGCACTATCATAATTATTTTACATCTGTTGGCAGAAAAAATATAAATATTATTAAAATTAGAGTAAGTTGTTTTTCGAATGAACTTAATTTTTTCTCAAGCCCCTTTAAAGCAGGGTTAAATATATATGTATATTTAAGTAAGTAGTCTATTATAAAACGTTGAATTTTGAAATAAAAATAGTTCCCAAGAATTATGTTTTTAGGTTTTGTTGAATGCTAGTTTTGGGGGTTATTTTTATACAAATTTCAATTAAATCATTTACTCGAGTTGTAATAATTAAAATCGTGTATAAACAGAGAACCTTTAACATTTTATTAAGTCTATGTTGGAATAAATTAATTTTTTATCGTAAAGTTTTAAACCTTAACCTTAAATGCTTTGTCATGTAAAACTAAAAAAACCGCAGAATACCCTCAATGTTTAAACTGTGTTTATTATATTATCACTATAAAGTAATTATGTAAATTTAATTAATTAACCATTGTGGCGTTCTGCGGTTTTTTTAGTTTAACATAACAAAGCATTTTAGGTGAAAGTTTAAAACTTAGAAATATTATAAAAGCGCGGGTAAAGGTTCTTTTAGAAGATAAAAGTTTATTTTGCTATAGTTTGCAACCATATTTACCTGGATGATCTATTATTTTTTCCAACTTTGTCTTCCTAAGGTCTCCCCTTCACGTTGTCAAAACATAATCGGAAATGCAGCCATGTAGGTAGACTTTTGCATTTTGGAGTATGCGCTCAAATTAATATGCTACAAACGAAGGCTATAATGTTTCATGATAATTGCTTAAGATTTAGTATAGTTTAAAATAATTCTTTTGTTTCGCTTTTTTTTTAATTTTTATAAAGAAATTTTTAATAAAGTGCATGAGATACTTTAAGTTAAAAAAACTATTGAGATAACTGAATTTTTGACTAATATTTACACTTAGTGCACCAATACTGACATTTATCCTAAATATTCTTATAGGAACCGGAAATATTTAACGTAAACTATAAAAAATTAATTTATGTCAAGTTTCTAATTTTAAATAGCTTAATGGTCAAAGCATAGAGGAAAATCTTCGTTCTTGATGCCGAATCTCTGCCTGCAGCGGAATGTGTCCTGGCATCCTGGGCTAGAGCTGACACTATAGCGACCTTGGCTATTATTCGGGCGTAAACTAATGTTATGTCATATACCAAGTGTGTAAGTTGAGATCTTTCTAACAATCTGGACTGTTAACTTAAACCAAGCTTGTTCCTATTGAAAAATATTAACAGTTGTTAAAAAAAAAATAAGCTGTCACTAAGACACAAACTGAAACACAAAAATACTAGAAGGATTGTTGAACGGAAAAAGTTAATTTTTTAGAAAACTGTGTAGTTAGAGAGAGGGTATTGGTATCAAATTAAAACTGCCGAAACCAGATAAAGGCACGTGAGCATTTAAAAATAAATAATTATTTGTACTTTTGTAAATGTGTATAAGTCCCACTAAGGTGTTCAGTCATTGTGGTTTAGTCAGGGTTTTCAATATATCGTCGCAGGATGACTTTTGTATTTACTTTCAATGTATAACGTTTTCGTTTATTAGTATTATGTTTTCCATGGTGACGCGAAAGTCGAAATTATCTGCCCATAAAGCATCAGTATAACACCCTACTAGTATATTCTTCTCGTCGACTTTTGTTACGCTCATTGGTTAGTTTAGTATTTTTTGTTTCCTAGAGATATCTAATCACTTGTTTTGCCCTCATTAGATGCGTTTCATCACAGTTATGCACGTCTTCCAAGGAATGTAATAGCATATGCAATATCGGTTCTTGTACAACCCGCTATGTTCGTAAGAGAACCGACTAGAGTATAGTTTTCCGCATTAATTTCATTGTGTCCCTCAGAGGGCTATAATTTTATTTGTGAAGTGTGTGGAAGTTTATGTTTCATGTTATTACTTATATTAATTGTTCGGGCAGTTCAATTATTTTTTCTAATCATCAATATCTCAAATGAATGTTGTATATTAATACCTAATATGTTTCCAGGTCGCAGTCGTCTCTGATATTGTTTTCTCTCCGTAGGTTTCCTATGTATGTGGTATTCTATTATTATATGTAATCATTTACGTATGTTCTAATGCTCCTTTTGGTTATTGGAGTAAAACTTGCTTTCTATCCATATTTTTGTAACCTTCGAGTTAAATCTTTGAGACCATATGAGGCAAAGTTGAGTTGTAGTATACATTTTTTACGTTTCGAGTAATGTGCAGATAATAGGGAGCTCTGTTGAAAATCTAGACAGTTTTTGATTATTAGGTAGAGCCCGCGTGGTATGAGCACGTACCCTGGTTTTATAAGTTATGTTTGAGAAAGACAGTAGTAATACCGCCATTGTGGCCAGTAGTTATTTAAGGTTTGCTATGGACATCAGCGAAAAGAGTCCTTTGATAGAACAGGTAAGTCCCTTCATAACCTACAGCTTTAGTTCGTTAATATCCCCTAAAACATAAGTTGTATAGGTAACATATCGATGTGAGTTGTCACCGAAGCTCAGTGGTTAGAGCATGTCGCACAATCTTAAGGCGGGTTCGATTCCCGCCAGCGCCAACTCGCATTTTTCTGGTCAGGTGGTCACGTGTGCATTTTCCCTACAAACAAAATTTTGATACCTTAGCAGTGAGGCACGCTTGATATGGGTATTATTCCCTTTTACAGTAAACCTCAAGTTGTTCTTAAGATCCTTGTTGTGGTATATTTTCAATTACTATAATGGTAAAACCTTTATGTTGTGTTATGGATAATAGTTTGTATTTGGCTACTTGCATGTGTAACTCTTGTCGTTTGCGTTTTGGCTCCTTAAAGGTTGGGTAGGTGATAGCTAGTTGATATTTCCTTTTGTTTTAAGTTTTTATATTACAAACTGGTGAATCAATATTTAGATTTCCATTTTTTTTATTGTTTTCCAATGTTTTGCACTGTTCCTTCTATTCCTCAAAGTTTTCTATACCACTAAGAGGAAACCCCCTATAATTCCACTTCTTTAGTGAGTAAACCAGGCGTTTTAAATTGATTTCCTACAAAATAGGTGTATTGTAATATTTTTTTTTGTTAATTTCATTCATCCATAGCTTTTTTTCAGTGACACTAAGAAAATCCCCTTCCGCGCTATAGTCTGACCACAATATTTTGAGCGTCACGTAGCTTATTTATCCTATTTAAATATTTTCGTTATTTACAATGGGACTTGTGTTTCTGTAAATATTATAACTATAGATCACGGTTTAAAAAATTAATTATTGTATTTACAATAGTTAGCCAGATGACCAATTTTTTTCTACATACACTTTTGAAAATGATAACTCTAAAACATAATAATTTAAGTATAATTACGCACAATCAGCAACCAGTAATAATACACAACCTTCGAATAAAAACAAATATTTCAAGAATGACGTGTAACTCCCGACATTTGCGTAACAGTCCAAAAAACAACATCTGACAAATTTAAAGACATATACAACGACATAGAAACAAACAAAATATCACCCAAAGAAATTATACGAGATCTTACAAAAGAAAATAAAACACTTAAGACTAAAAAGACAGACTTTCACATCGTGGATTACCCCCTACCTATGAATATCAGCTTAGTAATGAGAGGGAAAAATTTAGATATAAACTAGTGAATATTCTAATTACCAATTAACTGAGAATAAGAGTAAATTACACGAAATATAGTTTCGTAAACAAACAGACGAAATTGATTACAGATCTTCCGTGTAGTGAAAAGAATTAAGAGTGCTGTGACGGAATAATAAAATTTTAAAGTTCATATGAAACTTAAAGGTGAAGGAGTTACTGCAGAGATGATACGAGGATTAGCCTTTAGGCTGTATCCTTTGCTGGGACAATGAAAGAAGTGTTATGAAACTTGAATCACCCCAAGCCAAATGAAAGAAAATTATAAGCCTGTACGAGTGCAAACGCTTATTAAAGATAGGCCGCTGGAACCAATGAACGATCGAGAATGGAAACGTAAGCCGGTAGTAGTAGTAGTAAACCTGAGATAAGAATGGCTACTTATTAGGATTTCATGAACTCACAAGAAGAATATATGAGAATGCGCGATGCACTCCAAAAATTTAACGCACAGTGCATTATAGAAAGGAATACACTTCCTAGAGAAATATTATTAATCTTGGTAATAAAAAAAAAAAATGAAATTTTCACAATCCTGGATAATGCCAAAGGGTTCTATTAAAAAGAGATATACACTAAGATTGCCGGAGATATTTTGCTTTAACGCTCCCTGGTGGAAAAAGAGTTAAATGAACAGCTCTTCCCTTTGGTTGACGCCTTCTTTGGATATTAAAGAATTTAGACATCACAAATGAAAAACTGAAGATACCCCCGTCTATTTTGATAATTACTCAGTTAGCACTAGCATGAAGTTAGACCATTTTACGGCACTTAATGAATTAGATTCTTCTTACGAATAATTTAATGTTAAAATTCGATTAGAAAAATGCAAATTTGTTTATTACTATAATAGCCTTTTCCAAGGGTCAGGAACAGCCTTTGCGGTTTATCAGGGTGAGTGTGTGAACCGCTGTTCCACCTTTAATAAAGCATTTTGTTATATATTTTATTGATCCACTTTAATGGAATGAAACAAGAAACGAAGAATAGGGGTTGACTTTATTTAGTTTTGTTTCTCTTTTATACATAAAATTTATGAAATTTTGGGGAAAATTATAAACGTTAGGGAGTATTCTTATTACATATTACTGAGATTTTGGTAGCTTTTAGTCTATTATAGCACTATATCATATATTAGTTTCCAACAAAGTAGTTATCGAGAAATTATGTTTTGAAGTGAGAGTGGCTTAGTCAATATGTCTGCCAGATTTAGTCTTGAGGGTATATATTTAATGTAAGTATTTTATTTTGGAAGTTCATCCTTAATGTAGTGATAAGCTATGTCAATAAGTCTTACCCTGTTCGATGAATTACATTTTACTATATCTTTTACTGCTTCGTTATCAGTATAAAATTTTACTTTTAATCCACAGTTTAAAATTTTTTTCTAAGAGTATACTTTTTAGGGCAAATGTATTTGATATAGCCTTGCTTAAAGCTATGTACTCGGCTTTACAGGAAAATTTATTTATTTTTGTTTTATCTATAATAGATGGCCACTGCACTGGAGATTCCTTAACTAAAATAATATAACTCATGGTGGATTTATAGTCGTAGGAGTGAGCCCAAGAAGAATCAAAATAGAACTCAACCAAGATACTGTCATCAGAATAGTTATTACCCCTCATATGAAGCGAAAGATTTCTTGTTTGATGTAAGTAACTAAGGATTCTAAGCGCCAATCTCATATGTTCTTCATTGTGGCAAAGGTGGAATGGGCTCAGCATAGATGACGGGTCTGAGTTATCAAGCCTAGTACTATAAGCAACATTACATAAAGATCCGCTTAGACTATAATATTCAGTGTTACTGCTTCCATTAATAGTGGGTTTAATTTTAGTACAGATGGGAAAAGGTAGCTACAATTAGATTTTGCCAATAGGAAATTTTGAAATAAGTTGTTTAATGTTGTACGTTTGATCTATTAAGTAAAAATATTTTTTATCTATTATATTAATCCCCAGAATTCTTTTGATGTTGCTGCATTCTTTTATATTATACTCCTTTTTCAAAGCGGATTTTTTTTTCATGATCACCAACATTTTATGCAGTCATCAACATAAATACCTATACATAAATACCTATAGTTGTTTCTAAATTGTTGGAGTAGGAAGTGCACTATCAGTTTTATTCTGATAATAACCATATTTTCTTAGTCTGCAAGCTAAGTCTTTGTGAAAGAGTCCAGCTGACTCTTTTAAACCATACAAAGCAACGTTAATTCTGAATGCGCAATTTCTTTTTTTATAGTGTTCTTTAAGAGGGTTTCTTTGCTGACAATTTATTTTGTTTAATATCATATATAGGCCTTAAGGTATGTGGACATAGGCTGGTCTTTGTAATTTGGTATGTAAAAAGGTTGTAGTTATATCAACTGTGTGAAAAGGTTTTTGTAAAATTTTAGCCATGGTAGTAACTAATCGAAATGATGACTTGGAAATAACGTGAAGAAACCTCTTAATAGTCGATACCTGCACTTGTTGATGGCCCCTAGCAGTCAGTCTAGCTGAACTGATTGTTAACATGGAATCTCCAAATAGTTGTAATGATATTATCACATTTTAAGCTGTTTATATTAACGATATCAACCCATCATGAGAAAGCAAATATTCAAGTTCTTTATTAGCTACTTTTCTGTAATTACCTCTGTTTTCCGATTGCACGGCTTCATTGTACGTTAATAGAAAGTTTTGTGTCAAAAATTTATTTCTGTTCTTTGTTTTTCAGTTCGAGTGTCAATATTCTCAGAAGTTCTTTTACTTGTTGTACCCTCTACTTCTTCTTTAGAACTGAGTCGATCTTCATGATTGCAACATTTTGTGTCGTCAATTTAATATTTTCCAGGGTTGTTTGTTTAAAAGTTAACTTTGTATTTTACTTTTTATGGTATCCATTTTATAAGGGTTATATTTTTTTGTTTTTATGTGTAGATGATCTTTAGGTTTATTATTTCAAGAGTATATACTTGGTTGAGAAATCTATTGGTCGCTATTTGCCAGAGCTTTTTCTTTGCCTTTGATTATACCGCTATTTGTCCGTTTTTCATTAGGATGGGTATACTATTGTCTATCGTTTAAATTGTTATTCTCACTATTACTATAATTATTACTGTAAACAATATTTTTATTATTGCTATTATTATGATTATTAGTAATTATTACTATTATGACTTTTACTATAATCGTTGTTAATTAGTATTACTTTTGTTTAAGTTGTTGCTGTTAAAGTCGTAAAAATAAACTGTCTGTTCATTAATGTCTTAAAATATTTTTATCGCAAGTTACTGCTATATGAGGTTTTATATCTTCCCTAGCAGTATTGTTTGCTGTCCTTGAAAAAAAATCTTATCATACTTTAAGAGATACTGTATGGGGTATTTAACAAGATCAAAGGGAAAGATGTCTTCAGAACATACTGTCTCTAAATCTTACGATTTTTTCCCCGTTCTTAAATTAGGTGTAATATGTTCATCCTTAGTAGAATCTCTCTGTTTGGAAAGAAGATGCCATCTAAAGCCCGATCTTGAGAATTTTTTTTAAATCCAGGATTATAGAACATAATTATGTAACCTAGAGGTTTATAGTAACTTAGTTCGCTAGATCTAAATCAAAATTTTTTTATTAGGCGATTTTCTTTCTTTCTTTTTTGGAACTTTGTTTTATATGTAGACCGCGTCACGTAAAGCTTCGCTTCAGAAAACTTTTGGTTATTTGGATTGTTTTAGTATGCAACGAGAAATGTCACACATTTTTGAATGCTTCTTTCACTCAGCATGAATTTCAGTGTCTTTAGGTACTGTTGGCAATTTAACACATGCATTTTTGTAGTTCATAAACAAGTTTATCATTAATGAATTCACTGCCTTTGTCGATTCTTATTTCCTCAATTTACAGCAGCTGTGGTAGTTCCATTTATTTTTTTTAAATTTTTTATGTAAATTTTATGATGTCTTTTAATCCAATGAATAATTAGCTTTTTTATTTCGCATAGATAATGGTGACTCGTTTAGACCTAGCGTCCGTTTGCGACTATTACACCCCTCGTATGACGGTTACCTTAATATAAGGTGTCAACATATATTAATTGTCCTAAAATAGATTGATTATTTGTTAACCATTTTTTTCTTCATCTTACATTTTTGGCAATTTCACAGTATTGATTTTTAAACTATGATATACCAGGAAAAATTCTTTTTAAGTGACAACAGTTAATATACCCATCCAGAAATGGACTTAGTCTTCATGGTACCAAACGTTGTGGTCATTGCTGTATTATTGTAACCATGACCGTTTATAAGAATTAAGCCATTCTCTTTTCTACCTTGTCTGTCTTTTTAATAAAAACTCTATTATTTTTAAAACGGATATATCTTTTTTTATTCAATCAACCTACAGAGATCAGACTATGTTTGGGGTTTTTGTCATAAATAGCTTTACCACGATCTAAAAATTTCAGAAAGTCGTATCGGTAGGCCTCAGTGCTATTATTTATGGTATTAATAATGTGTTGATCGTATCGGATACCAGTCAGTAACTCTCTATCTTCGATAAAATGAGTATAGGCCCCAGTGTCAACAGCCATCTTTTTCCCTGAATTCGTATTTTTCGGAGAGTTACAACTTAAATTGTGCCTTTATTTCTTATGAAGACATACCTC